CAAGGAGGCCTCTGGTATTTCAGCAGAGAGGGCATCCCATAGCCCTGGTGCCACCAGTGAAAAAGCCTGCAAGCAGAAAACCATCAGGGGAAACCAACTGGGTTCGATTAGCTGTGAGGCTCTACCAAGGCTGGAACCGGGATCTCTGAGCTTTGTGAACAGCTTCTAAAGCTGGCGCAAGACATTTTCGCCTGTGGTAGAAGAAGCAGACGATACCCACGCTTAATCTTAAGGGGTTCCCAGAGCCTGGTATGAGATGTAAGGGTTCCTGAACCAATTGAGAACAGTGGACCCACTGCTAGTCAACATATAGGCTAAGTGTACAATTGAGAAGGAAGTTTAGCATAGTCAGAATTTTCCCTAAAATGAGAGGGACTGGAGGGGGGGGGGAAAGTTAAAGCGGAAAGTCAAGAGGGTCAAATCTCTCCAGAATGCTTGGGGTTTGTTTAAAACCACACTCATAAAAGAAAAAGAAAAAGAAACCAGACACATTATATGCTATTTGGTGGCCGTTTATTACAGATGCCAAGACATCAGGTTTACAAAACACCGTATCATCAGTATCAGCTCAAACTTGGATGTCATGATTATGTTTCTGCTCTGAACTTTGTCCTCAGATATCTTGATCTCTTCTGGCCAATGAAAATAGTGACACATGTTCCTGGCAATACACAATGCAAGGGCCCTGCAAGAGCAACGCAGAAGATGAATTAAACAGGCAACAGTGACTATACATAAGAATATATAACCATTACTTACCTGGCTTCCAGCATAGGGAGGAGGGTTTTTCATTGTTTGCTTTTTATATCTTGTTATATTTAATTTCTGTTTTGTGACTTTACATGATATGCATATCTTATGGAAGAAACCAATAAAATTATTTCAAAAGCAGCAAACCACAGTAATAGAAGTTCTGCAATAATGTATATTGCAGGTTAGAAGAGGCGTCTCTAGGCCCAGGTGGATGACAGCGTGGTTAATGTGCAGAGTCAAGGAAGCAATTAGCTCCCTCATTCTGGTGTGTTCCTTGCCTCTGTTTCCCCTCCTGCACAACAAAACCCCACATTCTTCTCTGACAACTGCCTTTTTGAGCCTCAATCATCATAAAAACAGAATGCTATTGTATCTGATGCTCATTCCCTTGATTTAGGGGCCAATAGAACAACCTCTTGCTCCTGCTTCATCTTCGAACCCTTCCTTTAGAACAAAGGGTTAATTGCAACTTTGCTTGGCGGTCTCCAAAATATGTGAAAATTGCTATTGTTGTTCACTCACCCCCCCTCCAATGGTCTTTCCTTGAAGCAAAATCTGCCCAAACTCTTCATACTTTTCTCATAAGTCACGCATTCCAAACACTTTGTCATCCTTTCTCATCTTCTTTGCATCCTTTCCAGCTCCTTGGTATCCTTTTTTTTTTTTTAAAAAAAAGAAGGACCCAAATTATAGGAAACCATTTTTTCAAAGGTCTGCTGCTAAGCAGTGGGGGGCGGGGAGGAAGTTCTGTTATCTCTCATGTTACATTCACATGGTGCTCCTGATGATGATGCAGCCTGAATCACGATTAGCTTGCGATCATAGGAACACAAGAAAAGCCCTGCTGTTGCCCATGGGAAGTCTGCAAGCGGGACATGAGTGCAATGGTACTCTGATCACTTGTACCCCCCAGCAACTGGTATTCAGAGGCATAATGCCTCTGACAGTGGAGGGAGAATGTTAAGTTGTGGGTGAACATATCAGACGACACAGCGATTCTTCAAACAGCTCTTGTTTATTCACAGGCCAGAACAGAACTGAACTGAAGGGTTCAGCCAGCCTGCTTATATAGAGCTCCAGTAGAACGCAACAGTAACCATTTTCTGTAGCTATCCAATCACTGAACGTCACTTTCGATCGCTTATTTGCATATGCGGACCTGAACTATCTACAGTATCCCCCTGCTGGCCCAGGGTGAGAACTTCAGTACATAACAGAGAACATAACCATCAAGGTCATTTTTGTCCCCAGAGTGGAGCTAGAGAAACCTAGAACTGGGGTGGGAATCCTGTGGCCTTCAACCTCATTCCATACAGCCTAATTTCATTCAGGTGGCAGGGAGGAGGGTGGGCAATGGAATGGAAAGGGTGCTGGAAAGAAAAAGAGACACACACACACACACACACAGAGGACTCAGCTACATTAGTCCAAAAACAGCATTTTGAATGCGTTGTAAACATGCAACATCAGATGGCGCTGTAGAGCAGAAAACTTTTCTGTGCGATTTTACATGGCTTTTTTTCTTTTGTTCTAATGATTTAATTTCTGACTTATTTATAGCGTTTCCCCCCTGTGTGTAGATCCACCAAGGGGGGGTGGCAGTAAGAGAGAAAATTAAAAAGGGGAGGTGGCAGAGAGAGAGGGAGGGAGGGGGAAAGAAAGAAAGAAAGAAAGAAAGAAAGAAAGAAAGAAAGAAAAGGGGATTAGAGAGAGAGAGAAATAAAAATAAAGGGGGTGGCGGAAAAAGAGAGAAGTGGTGACCCTGCCCACTTTTGGACCAGATCAGCCAAACTGAGAGGGGCGTCTTGTCATCTGGGCAGCCCAGGACCTCCATAGACACGGCCCAGGCTTGCAGCCAGGTAAAGTCACTTTGGGCTGCTAACACAGCGGTTCAACTTCACCCCCAGAGGTGCACCCAATTGTCTCTTGAGACAGATGGATGCCAGCAAACAACACTGACTGAATCTCCTTTTATTGCAGTTTGCCCAGTGCTCAAACCAGCCTTTCTGAATATGAATCTTGTTCTTGGCATTATATGCAACTCCCCCTCTTTTCTGTCTTCTGCTAGTAAAAAAAAAACAAACCCTCATGAGGCCCTGAGCCAGAAATGCTGTGTTGAGGTAGCCTGAGGGGGCCAGGAATTGTTACAAAACTGGCAGAGCATAAATACAGGGAGTCTGATATGTTGATAGCTATTTAATTGCACACAGTATTCATCAAATAAAAATTAATTTGATATAATTTTACAATAAAGGATTAGGACTCATTAGCTTTTGCAGTCATCTGCCAGAACACCGGGAGCTTGTTTTCTTCTTAGGCCTAAACAAGAGATGATGCTTGTTGCTTGTGTGAAGGGAATTAATGTTCATGTTTTGCTTTGTGCAAACAAGAGTCACAGGAAAGCCTAGACAGCCTCAGACCTGTGTGGTGTGGGGTATAGGATTAGGCTAACCTCCTTGCTGAGTTCTACAAGGGCCAACACTGAGACTAAGGAGGAGGAGAGTGACAGACCGAGTCCCTGGGATAGTTGTAAATAAGGAGTCAAGGCAGGTGGGGCTGCCTGAGGGCAGACTGAGTTTGGTGGGGCAGTGCCCTGTTTACCCTAAGAAACCCAGACTCCAACTCCCATCAGCTCCAGCCAGCATGGTCAATGGTCAGGGGCTGTGAAAGCTGTAGTCCAGAAATATTCAAAGAGCCATAAAGGTAAAGGTAAAGGGACCCCTGACCATTAGGTCCAGTCGCGGACGACTCTGGGGTTGCAGTGTTCATCTTGCTTTATTGGCCGAGGGAGCCGGCGTACAGCTTCCGGGTCATGTGGCCAGCAAGACTAAGCCGCTTCTGGCGAACCAGAGCAGTGCACGGAAACACCATTTACCTTCCCGCCGGAGTGGTACCTATTTATCTACTTGCACTTTGATGTGCTTTTGAACTGCTAGGTTGGCAGGAGCAGGGACCGAGCAATGGGAGCTCACACCGTCGCAGGGATTCGAACCGCCGACCTTCTGATCGGCAAGTCCTAGGCTCTGTGGTTTAACCCACAGCGTCCCCCACGTCCCCCAGAGAGCCATAGTTCCTTACTAAAGCTCTATGCCCACCTCTCTGTCTTTCTGTACACACACACACACACACACACACACACACGTTCTAACCCAAACTCTACCTAGGACAGTCCCCTCTTGGCTATCATGGCATCAGTCACCTCCTAGGAAGAAGAGCCTGTTTGATCAGGCCGATGACCCATCCAGCTAGCATCCTGTCCTCAGAGTGGACAACCAGCCTGTAGAAGACCTTCATGTAGCGCCCAAGCGCAAAAGCACTTTCTCCTCCTGTGGTTTCCAGCAACTGTTATTCAGAAGCATTGCTGCCTCTGACTGAGGAGACAGAGCCCAGCCATTGTTACTAGTAGCCATATCCTCCATGAATCTGTCCCATCTTCTTTTAAATACCTCCAAGTTGGTGGCTCTCACTGCCTCTTGTGGGAGTGAGTTCCATAGTTTAACGATGCACTGTGTGATAAAGTAACTTTCTATCTGTCCTGAATCTTGCAACATTCAGTTCATGAGTTCTAGTGTTATGAGAGGGGTAGAAAAACGTTTCTCAGTCCTCTTTCTCCAAGCCACGCATAATTTTAAAAACTTGTATCATCTCACCTCTAACTTGCCTTTTCTCTAAACTAAAAGCCCCCCCGAGTCCATTAAACAACAATATGCTAATTGCTTCTAAATGCTGCAGTCTAATTGCGTACTCTGCTTTCGTGACACTTTTTATTCCATTATCTAATACTGTTGTAAGTTTGAAGAGTCAGACCAAATCCTTGATCCCAGGGAGGGATTAGAGGGAAGCCTCTGATTAGCAATCATATCCATATGCTGAAGCGGAACATTTGGATTTGTGTTTTGTCTCCACGCCTCCCCTCCCTAACTTCAGGAGCATCTCCAGGGCTCCCTGCCAATTTCACACTATCTCCTTTCCCCTTGCTTTGTCAGATGCTCTAGACTGTACTTCAGTGTAGCGGGAAAGAAAGCCAACACACAGCAAAGGCTGTCACTTGGGCGTGGAGGGGGGTTCCTAACATTCTGGCCCAGATAATGTCAGGTCTGCTGCTTGACAGAGAGGAGATTACATTGGATAGAAATCAACACAAATAGCAGCCCGGTTCTTGCCTACATAAATGGAAACACTTTGTTTATAATGTTCTTCTGGTTGTGATCAAAAACTCCTGGTCTTTTTTTTTTTTTTGCTTAAATCAGGTGTGTGTGTGTGTGTGTGTGTGTGTGTGTTGAATTGGACAAGAGCCGCAGTACTGGGTGGGGTGTCTAACTCCCGCCCAATGTAATTTCTTTGAAAACACACACACACACACACACACACACACACACACACAGCTTCTGTTAGCTTTGTGCAATGGCGGCTGGTACCCATTGAGATTGGTTGGGTGGAAGGCAGGGAGGCCACCATTAGATGGCACCAGAGAGCATGACAGGCAGAGCCAACTCATTTGACATTTACCCTTATCCTACAAGGAAGAGGAAGCTGACAGCTAGTGTCACCACCCAGACTGGTTGTAAGAAAGACGACAGGCTGTAGGGTTTGAAGGAATCAAGACTGAGGTTGGTGGGCCAGTGTCCCCTTTATCCTAATGGATCAACCTCATAAGAACATAAAACAAAGAGCCTGCTGCATCTACTGGCTACCTAGTTGCTTGTGGGGAAACCTCAAGCAGGACCAGAGCACAAGAGCACTCTCCCCTCCTGTAGTTTCCAGCAACTGGCTTTCTGAAGTACCATTAATAATAATAATAATAATAATAATAATAATAATAATAATTTATTTGTACCCCGCCCATCTGGCCGAGTTTCCCCAGCCACTCTTGGTGGCTTCCAACAAAGATTAAAATACATTAAAATGTCACACATTAAAAACTTCCTTGAACAGGGCTGCCTTCAGATGTCTTCTAAATGTCAGGTAGTTGTTTATCTCCTTGACATCTGATGGGAGGACTTTCCACAGGGCGGGTGCCACTATCGAGAAGGCCCTCTGCCTGGTTCCTTGTAGCTTTGCTTCTCGCAGTGAGGGAACCGCCAGAAGGCCCTCGGCGCTGGACCTCAGCGTCTGGGCAGAACGATGGGGGTGGAGACGCTGTCTGTGTGTATGTGAAGACTCATATCTATATTGTCTCTATCTCCATTCTCTACTGGAGCTAAGAGCCTTTCTAGGCACTTCTTAACAGCCATGCCGTTTGTGTAATTTAGTGATAAAACAAGCATGCACAGCATTTTGTCAGGCACTGCTTCTCAAGCAGTGGGCTGTGACTTACTTGTGGGCCTTGGTCCACTTTCAAGTGGACCTGAGTTCCACAGCCTGCCCTGGGTCTTCTCACTTACCTGTCTCACCCCCTAGCTGTGCCTGTGCCGTAGGAGATAGTGTCAGCAGCATTTATTTGAGCAGGGATGCTTGCATTTGTGAGTGTCCCTGCTTCAAGCACTTGTGCCATGGCTAGGTGTCGTATTTACAAAATGTTGTATTTGAGGCTTGCCACAGTCAAAACAACCAAGGGATGCCGACAGGTTTAAAGGCAATTGAATTTTGAGTTTAAAGATTCATATTTAAACAACGGATGGAAATAGAATGTTGCTATGAAGTTTCTCATTCATAAAGACAAACAGTGAAACTGGAAAAATCAGCCAAAACGGAATATAGTATTAGTGAATTATTGAGTTATGGCTCTAAACCAAGGCAACAACGAACGAACCACCAGAACATTTGCAAGAGAAATGCCATTTCCTGCCTATACAAAATTCTGGACCTGAATGTTGGATCTACAAAGATCAAGGAAGTTTTCTCTTGTTTTGCTTTATTCCTGTTCTGGGAAACTTCTGGCATGTGCATCCCTGGAGCACCTTCACAACAGAGAGCTGTTCCAAGACAATAAATGGGGAAGTTGATTACTTCTTGGAAAAGAAATGTATTAGAGAGACTCACGCAATGTTCCGCCAGGGCAGGCTATGCATCTATGTTCTGACATTCCTCTCCTTAGATTTAGCGGGCCCTCTCCATTTCGCTATGGTGCCTGCCTAGAAACTTTGTTTGGAGACATGCATAATCTACTGTTTCTAGTTTCACCATGGCAAAGCCATATATGCCAGGAATTTAACAAAGGAGGGGAGGGAAACTCAAGGAGAGTCTAGGCCTTGGATATTCAGCTGTCACTCAAACCTACTGCTACCATTGCTGCTGCTACTACGAAAGTCACTGGCTCTTCTACAGAGATATAAGAGAAATTTAGGTAAGCTGTGTTCTGCCAGCTTGCCCATTAAGAAGAAACAAAGCTCCCATTTTCTAATATTCTAGCCAGCGAACACAAAGGCACTTGGCATTCGGAAGTGGTTGGCGGCGAGGGGCTCCTCCACGGACCCAGGCATTCTGGCAGTGGTGTCCCTGCTACCTAGCAGGAGGGTGCAGGGCAGAGCAGACCGGTGGCAAGGTGAGGGTGATGTGGGTACCCTGGTAGAGCTCGTCTGGCACTTCTGCCTTTGTGCCTACCCTACCCCAGCACAATAAGTAGTGGCAATGCTGGTGCCAGGAACCAGCCCGCTCCCTCTTGGCTCCTCCAGCTGCTGCTTATATTTTCACGTTATTTTAAATAAATCAATTGGTTTTAATTTCAAAACATTGTATTATTTGTATTTTGACATCTGCTAGGAGTTTTTTTTTGGGGGGGTGTGCTTCTCAGTAGTAACATCCCTTCTAAAAAAAAGAGAGGAAAATATCTTAGTTGCTTTAAATTTGCCAGAAAATTGTTTTATTTGTACTCACACCCTTTGGGAAGCTGCCTTCTACTGAGTCAAGCCATTGATCCATCCAGCTCAGGATTGTCCACTGCCAGTATTGTCCACTGATTGGCAGTGGCTCTCTAGAATTTAGGATTCTCTCTCTCTCTCTCTCTCTCTCTCTCTCTCTCTCTCTCTCATGTGTATTTGTACACCAGCCTCCATACTGAACATATGCAGATCTTATGCAAATCAGTGGCCTCTCTTTTTTTTGGTGATGTGTAAGTGGCAATCCTAAAAACAACAGTTGCCTATGTTTTTAGCATGCCTTCCTAAAACTTGGTCAAGTCACTAGAGGCCAGATAAAATTACTTTGGAGGCTGCATTCAGCCTGCCGGCCATTAGCTGGCCACCCCTGATTTAAACAATACTAGGGTTGTTGCCTCTATCAGATGGAATTCCCAGTTCCCTTAAGCAGCACAGTGACTTATTAGTTCATTCATAAATTACTTGTTATTGCTTTAGGGAATTTAGACCAGCAGAGACAACAAGCCTCATATTATTTAAATTTAGGAGCGGCCAGCCGATGGCCTACAAGCTTGATGCAGCCTCCAAAGCGATCGTATTTGGTCCTAGCAGATTTTTAAAAATGCATAGTGTAGATACATTTGCTCCAAAAAGTTGTGGGTGATGGAGATTCCATCCTTTAAAAGTCACATCCCTTGGGGTTTTGTATGTAATGCCCTGGCGGTGCCTGAGCTGTTGCCAACTTGCTTGGAGAGCCTGGCCACAGTGAGGGTGTTTGGCCTGCACTGAAGAGACACGTCTGTCTCCCAGATGATATCTAGAGAGAAGAGAGTGAAGCTTCCCTTGCAAAAGGAGAGACACCAGCCACCCTGCCGCCCCACCCCAAAATTTAAATAGTCCTAGGCTGGAAGAAAGGTAATTCAGGAGGAATTTATTTCACTAGTTGAGTCAACTTTCTTCAGCCCCTGGATTCATCCGTTCAACTCCTGATTCGCCCCTTTGCCTGAAGGCTCTTACAGAGAATGGCCTTGGGGTGCTTAGCCCATCATCCATCATCACGTGCTCTTCTTAAAGTTGTACTTCAGGAAAACAAATGGCTAGTCAAGATTGTGATACAAGTTGATGGTGTAAAGAGTGTATGTAGAAAGAGAGTTGAGTCCAGTGCTCAAAGAACTGGGCATGGAGGACCCAGAGGACTTTCCCAAGAGTCAATATTTTTGCACTGTCAAAAGGGTATCATTAAAATTTGCATTAATGTTTATGAGAACTGATAGTGCTTGGAATGAACTAGATCGTTTAATGAAGTTCATTGAATTAGTTCAAAAATGTCTGAACTACACCTCAAAGCAGTTCTCATATCAGCCAGGTGAAATGAACATAAATTTTGTTCATTTGGGGGTAGCACTTTGAAATATTTCTGGTTCAGGTTCACTCTCTAACATTTTTAAAGATGCTTTCGCCTCCTTGTATTATAGATCATAACCGCTGGGAAAAATTAAACCGCTGGGAAAATTAAACAATTCACATTCCACTGTGTGTGCGCTTTGATGTTTTCTTCTTAATATTCTGAATGTAATATTCTTTTTCATTTTAACCATTTATATACCATCTACCACAAAGAATGCTGAAATAAAATGAACATGAACCAAACTAGTTCATTATATAAAAGGACAGACGTGAACTGGAATCATTTCCTTTTTGGACATGGTGAACTAGAACTAGTTGCCTTTAAAAAATGAGCTTTCCGAGTTCTGGAACTGACTGGCTTTCAGGTGCCCTGCCAAAGAAAAAAGGCCTAGCTCTCAGCTACCTATCAGCTTCCTGTTTTAACAGGAAGCATGTGGAGAGTAGCTTGGAAGGGTTACTGTTTTGTATTCTACCACTGGGTTTGCCTAGGTTACCTTCTTCACTGGTTCTCTTAATCCTTTAAAAAATTCTGGTGAAATTTCCTCTTGTTCCTTGTAGGATTTTTGCAATTAGGCCCAATTTGTGCAACAGATTAACTCATCTTGTACGTTCTGAAAGAAGTTTCCATTTTTCTGTGAAAACGCGCTAATTAATACCACAAGTGATGTCGTGATTTTGGCCCATCTGCAGGAACGTGGGGCTTGACAGCTCCTAACAGAAACCAGCTGGCCTCTCCCGTCTCTTGATCCAAGCCATTTTCCCAATCTCTCTGCTTTTACCCCCATCAGGTTTCCAACCTGTTTACTCCCCGCTGGTCTGTTCCCCCCCTAATATGACAGCTTTGGCTGTTAAAATGGCATCTCCTCCAGCTCTCCTTTCACCTTGACTCCAGTGCATTTGGTTTGGGTTCCCTTGTGTGTGTGTTTGTGTCTGGTTCCACTCCCCTCTTTGTTTTATGTTACACACAGCAGAACATCATAGGGAACGGTCTGTATCAGCTATACTCGCTTCCTCCTCCTTTACATCTGTTGCTGGAGACACTGGGGAAGAGTGTTCAGCGGAGGACCACACACCTAGGTTCCACGGCAGAGAAAGGGGTTGATATTATTCGCCACCCTCTGGTTCACCATATACTGAATAATCAAAGTCTGCTTTCATGGGGCTGGAAGAGGGACACC